GGAACGTCCAACTCTTCAACCTGCACAATTCAAAGCTGATTGGCATACGACAGCTGCAGAGGCAAATAATCACATGCACGAGGTCCAGGATAGATAAATGTTGCCTTCCGTAAGTGCGGAAATAATTTCCACCGTGTCAGTGCTGGCAAATTGATGTGTAATATTGTCAGTTTCTGCTATATGAAAGCGCGCACCAGCGAAATCCGCAACTATGCTCCCATTTCATAAACATTAGATTCACCGGAATATCATACGTCGATGGACCCGGTGTATAACCGTGGCTGTGCAATCGAGTTTTTATCTTTAACTAACCAGGCTAAAATTCGCTCGCTAAAGACATTCCTCCAATTCCCTCTGACGGATTTGGGTGCATTGTGCGGCTACTGTTCATTTAACGCCCTCAGACACAAAAATTCGACGATTGTGTATTGTCTAAAATCTGTAGAAGAGCTTCTCGATGAACTTTGAGACAGATAATAGCAGCAATACATTCAAAAGATGCGGAGTACAATCTGGAAGTTCGATTTTCTGGGATATTTCTCTGTCCACAAGTGAACAAGTGTGACGTAAAATCTCCACTATTCATAATTCCTAAAGCTAAAAGTTGGATATGCATTAGCCAAGATAAGCGAAATTGCAGAAATGACAGACCTCGGGTTCTAAGCTCAAATTTTTTAAAAATATGGCGGTAAGAGTAGCAAGTGAAATGCGGGGATCATCGCAGTTAGCTTCCGGTTAAGCAGGCTTCCACACATCCAGAAAAACACTAGACAGCCATTTCGTCCTGCTGTGTCTCGTCCGTTGTCTGCAATCTTCGACTTCACGAGAAACCGAATCCAAAGCCTCGCGACATCAGCGACGCACGCCATCAACTCGCTCATACAACAGGGATGCGAGAAGCCAAAATGCAGATACTGTGGTTTGGCCTGAAGTGGGACCTAAGGCTGCCATGTAAAATCGACCGCTGGGTTGGCTGCATCCGATTTCGGATTTGTCTGTCATTGTGACCAGTCACAGGACGCCTCTGCCTACAGAGGGACAATGGGTGGATTGCGCTGCACCATCTACACACCCCATATTCGGTGTAAAACCGAAGGAATAAGATCGGGAGGCATGCGGATGGGAGCCATGTTTCATCGACGGAACTGGCCCACACTCCTTCACCGGCAAACACAAGCACGCTGTAGTTGGGAATCAAGCGTACACAAGGCGGTGGCTGGACCGTAGTCCGCTCCACATTGAGTGCATGGAACCACTTTCGGGCCTAGCACTGCCATAAGGACCGTGCACCCAGTCCCATCCAGCAACGACCAACTGACGCCTGGAACAAGTATGGACAAGGTAGTGGGTAATAGACAGGTAGGCACCTTGTCAACATGCACATCAAGCGCAGGTACATCAGGGATATTGAACAACAGCCAGTCACTTGAAATGACATTGTCAAATAAAACAAATCTGTTAAAGCATGCGGCTATGTCGACATAACTTTACGTTAAATTAGCATATGAAGTAGGTTGGTTAGCAACGAATTCGCGATAAGTACAAAATGACCACAAGTTGCTCAAAAAATGAACTAAAGTAAACAAAGTTAACGAAGATAACCACGATTAACGTAAGCAACGTGGCTAGTTAACAGGAGATTATTCAGGTAGGCAGAACAAACCAAATAAAGTGGAATGAAATTTATCCAGCTTAAAAACACCTAGTTTAAGTGCAAGTTGATTTAGCCCAACTGCGGTGAAAACATCATGAATGCAACTTACTGACACACATAAACACACCAATTATCATGGACTGTCTCTTCAAGAAGCTTCGCCACACAAAGTAAGGAACAAATATGATACAAACAAGGTAGCTCAGACGAACATACGCAGGATACAGGACGTGCAATATACCCATCCACGGTAGTGTCGGCTGGTAGCCGAGTGGTCTGTGCGCTTGGTTTGCAACCATAAAGGCACCGGTTCGAATCCACGTAGATGTGGGCGTCCTCGCAATATACTCAGTGCGCGAGCGACTAGTGATGGTCGTGTGGCAGCGAAGCGACGTTACGGGGTACAGCTGGCGACATTTTAAATCATCAATAGTGAGAAATGCGTGGGTTCCCATTTCGGCATATGACAACCAACAGACCGTAGTGTTTTGGCAATCATTTCGTGTGTTCAGTTCAGTAGAACAACCATGACCCGAGCACCGAAGTGCAGGGGACGCAGTTGCCATGACTCACATCGCAAGAATAACAGTAAATAACAACGGTCGGATGGTGGGGTTGGGTGCAAATGGAACGTAGGGAAAATGAAAGCGAGAGGGAAATGCGTTAAATTAATCAGTGTGGAACAAAAATTGACAACCAGATGTAAGAAACCGAAAAACAAGAACGCCACTGACTGTGTCATGCCTGACATGGTCTCCAACCATTGGTGTGGACCATCCCGAGGTCCCCATCCAAGAAGCTGGCACACGCCAGCCTGACCAAGTCTATCAGTCAATTTCTTCACACCACGTCATGCACTGGCTTTGTCGCTGCTTCGTCACGGCCTATAATGCGCGCCGAGGAAGCCGGTCAGCGGGCATACGGAGGACTTGGAATACCACCGTAAGCGATTAAGATTTAGCAAGCACTCGAGTGAGTTGCCATATTAATTCTTGCTAAACTCCAACTGGCGGATCTCAGTATTGCTCACCTGGTGTTCTCACCAAACGTGAGTAATGCTCCGCAAGCACCGGTGGTCAAATACGACCAAGCGTTTAATGTCTTTGTCGAGAAACTGGCCAGTTCTCTAATCCATACAGTAACAGAGATCCCGCCGCAGCGTTACACATCCTACCTTTCACTGACAGGCTGATATCCCGCCGTCTCCATAGATGGTTGAGTCTCTGGAAAGCCACACGGACCTTGCTGTTACACGGAGCAACTTCCTCAGTGATGTGACCACCAGAGGTGACACAACTACCAAGGTAGGTGAACCAATCCACCACTTCCAGTGCCTGTTAAGAAATAGCTAAAACGGGGTGTGTGTCTGTCCCGTACTGAAACAGCAGTGTGTACTTTGAAGGTGCAAAGTAGGTGTCAAACCGTGCAGCGCTAAGCCCAAGTCTGTGCAATAGTGTTTGCATAGTCAAGGAGAACTGTTGTCCGCATACTCCAGGTTTATCAGTCGGTCGCCTGGCAGAATTTCCACTTCAGACTAGTCTGAAAAAACCGACGTGCACGATCATTTCGATAACAAAGTCGAAGAGGAAATGAGATATAAGACAACCGTGGGGAACTCCATTTGTCGTGCGGAACTCAGGAAGCAGTTTCCTGTTAACTCTTACACGACATCAGTAGAGAGATTGCATTGTCGAAAGAAATTTAGCCAGCACATCCTGCATGGACAGGCAGTGCCACAAGCTGGTGCGGTCAACACAGTCGAAGGCGGATTTCAAGTCAAGGAAAACCACCATAGTCGGTCGTCAGTATGTGTCTGCACCAAAACTTGGCGAAGAGTAAATATGTGGTCGATGCAACCACGGCCAGAGGGGGAGCCAGTTTGGCTTTCAGTGATTCGGTCCTCATGGGGACCAGTAAATTGTCGAAGAATGATACCAGCGAGAAGTTTTGGGGCAATGAAAATAAGGCTAACACCTCGGTGATTTTCGCACAAATTACGCTGACGCTCGTTGAAGATGGACACGACAGGTGACAGTCGCCAGTCTGAAGGTACTTCTTGAATGTCCCCAATCGTGTTAAAAATGAAAAGCAAGTCCAGTCAACAAAGAGTCACCTCCATCGTTTAGCAAAGATGGGGGGTGGTCATCGGGTCCAGGAACCTTGTTTCAACACGGAAAGCTCAAGTAGAAAATCTTGTAAAGTGGGAGGTGTGAGATCTACTCCCCACGTCGTCTCAAGCGATTCGGTAAGCGGCAATGTCGTAGCAGGCCTGCTGAAGTGCTCTTCAAAATGTTTTGCCCAACGAGCTAGCCGACAACCCTGAGAATGGATCAACAGTCCATCCTTCTCAGCTATTGTCTCGCTGATGGCTTTCTCAGACCCGTGTTCCAAATGAGATGGAAGAGCACTAGCTTTCACCATCTCAATGACCCTTGGCATCCACGGACTTCCCGGTCGATTCTAAGGCTTCTTGTCACACGCCAGTTCACGGAGTTAGGGACACCGAAACCTGTTTCGGTGCTTCCATCAAGCCGATGGATGCCTCAGAGATCCATTCCATCTGCGTCATCATCTGGTTATCCGTACATGATTGTACTGGCCGGAAATGACATCGGAGCCAGAGGATTGCCGCACTGCATCACTTTAACCCTGCTTGTACACCTCGCTGTGTACGTCAAAAACGGTGAACCGTATACCAATTACGTCTCGGGGATAATGGCTACACACATTTCCTTCAGCTTACACCTCTTTAGCTAAACTCTTCACTACACTAGTTAAGCGTTGTCTACACCACTCTTTGGTGGGACGATCCGCGTACTTATTCAGGTTGTCTATAATTATCAGAATTAGTATCGCAGCCTATGCATTTAGACACTACATTTAAGTTACTCCATAAAAGAAATTTGATCTGGATGTGCGCTACCAACCCAAGATTTTGCATTACGAATTCCTTAGCGTGAGACAGTCTATGAAGATCACGTCCTAACCTTAGCTGAGAGACCATAGAGACTAAGACGGGCAGGCAGCAACCAGAAAGTGATGTGCTGTTCTTGCTTTCCAGCCGGCCAACAGATTGTCCTGCTGTGCAACAGTACGCGAGCAACACCAGTTTAAATGTGGAAGTAAGAGACAAAGGTAACCTGTTACGGAAGTAGAAAAGAAAAACGAGACCGAATAGTTACGATCGGTTAGTCAATTTTAAGCATAGTTCTTAAGGGTTTTGGCGAAGAGCATTGAATAGATGGAAGTTCTAAGCTCTTGAATAGAACACAAAGAGACCGAATAAACTGACCGAACAGCGAAGAGGTGATGAAACAAAAAGCGAAAATACGCTGCTGACACGTACTCTGGGTTGACAAAACAATAGGATAGTGGTTGGGCGAATTGGACTCCGCGACTGAAATCCGCTTGACTTGCTGTTGCTGGTTATGCTGAGGTTGTTGTTTCTGTGGCGCAGGTTGTATGCTGACCTGTGGCCTAATCTGGATACGTGTTGCAGGCCCGGTTTGTTGGAGCTGGTCGTTCGGGGACCGTTGACCTTCGGGGAATGAGGAGTGGTCTTGATTGGAAAGCACTGGACGTGGTGTCGGAATGCCAGAGACATATTTCGTCTGGACAACGGTGATTTCCGTGGGTGGCACACGGGAGATCGGAGCATGAGATGGGATGGGAGGTTGTTGAACACTAAGACAAAGTGGGAAAATAAAGAGCGAATGAGCATTGCAGCGGAAATGGCAGTACCCGTTGCGTTTCATACTTTACTCTTATGATGGAAAGTATGGAGACAAAAGATGTAAAACTCATGATAACCGTATACAGCACTGTTAACTATTGTCCGGGTAATGGGATACAGTAGGTCCGAGTGGGAAACAAGTGCTAATGAAAAGGCATAAAACCTCACTGATTGCTGTCTGGTTTCATTTCCGGAGAGTTCTTTCGTTCTCTGTGATCCCCTTGAAGCAGTTTGCGAGAAGCAGGGGCATCAACGACAGCAAAGCGGGGTCGGGATTGAGCATCGGATGTGGCCACCGATACGATGACGTTATCCCGGGGAGCAATTTGAGCTGCAGTAGCAGGAGAGGCGCGAACCGTATCGAAGACCCACTTCAGTGTCTCGGGTGAATTTCCAGTGGGTTCAGCATCATTGGTCTTTCTATGGTCTTCACTACTGTCGGCAGAAATGATAAACGATGGAGGAAAGTAGATTAGACGGATTTGGAGAGACATAGTGGACCGAGAAATCAGGTCAGAGTTTCTACGGTGGTAATGCGATGTTCAACTGTTGCATGACACATGAGATCAGATGACTGGAAACAGCCCTGCTGGATGTCACTGGCTAATTCGAAAGATGGAGCATTGCGCCACTAAGACGGATACTCAATGAGCCCTCAAAACTATTTTAATCAGTAACAGTGTCGGTTAAAAGCAGAGCACAAAATGTGGAGGATTTCGAGATGCAGCGCTCAAGAATCAATCGTCTCAGTGTTCCACATTGTAATGCTATGACGTATGGCTGCACGTTCTCGGTGACCCTGCATAAACGGTAAGGTAGCCGTGACTGAGCACGTTCGCTCCATGCTACCTCTCCCAGTCGTAGCTTTTCATAACATAAGTGAACAAATGTTAAAGAGATGCACACCATCAGTGCGACGCTGCTGCTAATTTATGAAGGGCAACGGAAAAATAGTTCGGTTGCTGTCCAACTGTGATCCAAGAGGAGGTGTGGAGGGCACGGCTATGCGTCGCTGTGGGGAGAACAACAATGAACGAACCTAAAACGGGAACGGGAAAACGAAGGGCAAAAAGCGCTCATTAAGTGAAAACTGTCAGAGAATGAGGTTAAGCAGTTAGAGGATGGAAGTAGCCACAAATCGTAGGAATGGCCTATCACAAGGACCCTATGTAAGGAAGTGGCACCGGTTGATGAAAGCTGGTTTCACTGTGCAGATTTGCCACGTCACGGTCGGACACATTCGAACTTTGTGCAAGATGTAGTGTTGACAAACCAAAAATTGGCATAATTGCGACAGACATGAAAAACGGCGACGTTGGGAAAAAGTGTCGTGCGGTACCACACGGTCTGCCGTCAAACACTAAGTAGCAGATTTCCGTGGAGCTAACTTGGTGTCCCTGTAAAACACAAACAGTGTCTCGCAAGCACATCATATTGTTGACACGCAGTAGTAAGTTCTTCGATTCATTTGTTGAGATGAGACACTGGCACAAATGACACAGGCCGTTAGTCTAGGTGTTGAATCCAGTGATAATATGTTATAAAGTTGAGTTTTAGAGGTACAAAATGAACCGCGGTCTAGAACATAGGACAACACGAAGCAACAGAAGCTCACAGGCCGTCTTCGTCAGAATCAGCATTCTCATCAATACCAGATTCGCGCCAACGGCGATACCGTTCGATAAGCTCTTGCAAAATGGCATTATTTCGTCGGGCTCTCTTGATGAATGGATGACGCAAAAGCTCGTAAGCAGCAGGGCGCTGAATCAGAAGAGAGAACGAAAAAGAAAAGAAAACAAGCGAATTTCAATGCATCAGAAACCCCAGTGACACAGGCGCTTTGTAACATAGTGGTTTGTAATACCTGTCTAATTTGGTTTTACCGTCAAAGAAACGTTAACGGGTTACGAAAAAGTCCATTTGTGCCGACATGCCAATACTTCCGCTGAACCAATTAAACGCTGAATGTAGTGTAAGAGACTGTCTGAAGTGAAGCAGAGCAGGTGTGCGCAAAAAGGGAAGCACATGTCAGCTCATAAAAAGGAGTAACACGATGATCAGAATAGGATCCAAGCCACTTGACAATAAGCAAGTATTAATTCATGCTAAATTCGTCAAAACAATTAAACCAATGAGGAGGAGAGCTGTCTTAATGAGAAGTATGGCAACGTTGCAAACGCAAAAGAGGACACAAAGCAGACACTTTTAACGGCTAAAATGATATCACCTGGAAAAAGTAGTGAGCTGAGGGGAGAGCATATGAGTTAAACGCAAACAGGGGAGATTGACTGAGAGATACAACCAGCCGAAATTTCCGAATCCGTGAAGCAATAAACCGCAGGAGGGAAAGAGGAATACACAATTGACGAATTTGGTAGAGTACTTATGGAGTCAAAACAATACAAGATCGTTATCTCGATTTTCATGGGATAAAGTATTATACAGTGAGTGTGCCAAAAGTTGCACAAAAGAAAGATATAGGGAGGATAGAACTCTATGCATACGTAGAAAGTGCGTTGAATCAAGGGTGGCAAGTGACAGTCCCGTGGGAAAGTCAAAGAAAGAGGAAACAAAAGTGCTGGAGGAAGAAGAGTTAACTATTCTTTTTCCGGTCAATGAGCCTCCTTAGACCGTCAGCTAACGCAAGTGGGACATCAAAAGGAACTGAGCCCACCTCGGTTAGATGGCTCAGCGGCAATATATGGAACAGAAACCCAATGATTTGTAGGGTCATCAGTATTGGAGTTCGGTTTGCGAAGATAAAATATTCAACGAAATACCAGTAAAGCTCACAACATAGCCAAGAGAAAGTTGGTAACGCTTGAGTGACTGAACGCCGATTCGCCTCGATCCAAATAGCTTGTAACCGCGTCGGGTAGAAAGATGAGGACGGTATAAAAGGCGTAATATTTGTTATTTTGATATGAGGCATTGAAGTGGAAGTGATGCTAACAGCGTACGCGAATTGCATCTGAGAGTAATGGATAACATCATGCGCTGGAGGAACAGATAAAACTAGGCCAACAATTGTCGATGAGTTGGGAATTGCACTGCAGCATCGAAAACGAACACTCGGTTACTGAGCAAAACGAGTTATAAACAGTGCCACAGCGAGATGAGTGGCACACCAGCTATAGCGCATTGAGGACAGTAAGCATGACAGAAGACAAACGGGGCCGTCATCGGTTGGTCGTGTGAGGAGTTGGCCAACTAGCTGTCAGTAGAGTGAAATGAACGAGATAACTGTCATGAACCCAAAAGTTGCAACAAAACACAGGGGGTCTTAATGAGTATTTGGCATATCACGGAGTTACCTATGTTAACAGGTCACATGCTTTAAGTGCTCAAGAAGCCGGAGAGATAACAGATATTAATAAAAAGACAAATTAGAAACCTGACTAAGGGTAGACGAAAGATAGCTTATCAAAATGAAACTCAGCACCAATCAATGAGCTACAGTGATATAGATGAGTTAATCCCTAAAAGGAATGATAAGGCAATCCACTGCACCGAATGGATCTCATGCCTTAAAGAACACCGAGATTCGCAGTGACATATTTAACGGGACGGTGCATATTACAGTTCAATGGGCAGACAGCTAGGGCCAATCCATGGAAGTAACCACCTACACATCTTAGTAGTCGTAACGGCAAACGCATTATGCAGTCCATACTAGTCGACGTCCGTATTGCGCCCTCCGCTTGATGTATACACAGCGTAAACTCCAGCGCTGCGGTGCGTGTCACTGACAATGATTGTCAAACGGTGGTTCGACGAAGAGCTGCTGCGCATATACGATGCAGTTTTAACAAACAAGTGAAGGACAGACGATCATGCTCGATACCTTATTGTATCCAGCTGGTGAAAAAGCCTCATTTTGCATCGTTTTAGATAAATGGCAGATAACAATCGAGCAGTGGGAATTAGTATGGATGAAAATGTGAGTACGTAACAACAGCCAAAGAAAAACAGATGAGAGCAAGCAACAGGAAATTGTTTTCATTTCATAAACTTTTTAAAGACGGACATCGTGGAACAAGGGACTCCCTCAAACGCAGTTTCAAAAGCCGACGCCCCAATATTTACGAAATTAGTAATTTGTTTAGCTCATAGTGCTCTACGGTGATTTTAATCAATTTGGTAGTGAAAAAGGACATGGTTAGCGTGTAAAAAAGCCGGCACTAACGGGACGTTTGTAGCAGTCGATCAATGCGACCTCTGGGCGCACCGAGTTCACATACATCATTTATTGGCTGGACTCACCGGGGTCAGTTAACCATCAAGCTAACCATTAATTGAAAAGTTGTGTTTGATGAAAGATATAATGTCTTTTGCGTACTGCCGTAGCTGACGTGTTTTGCAGTCTTGCGCTTCGAGCCGAATACTGCGTTCTACTGAGAGTTGTAGTTTCGTGCCAGCCGAGTTATCACTTAGTTGAATCTAATTCTAATGGTGATCCTAGTAAGCTAGTTGTGTAAGTCAGCTTATACAGTGATACGAGAGCTGCAAGGTCCATCGCAATGAGGCTGGACCTTACCGTGGTGCGATGGTTTGCGTGCTTCAGAGATCCATTCAGCTATGATGGATGGTGCTTTTTTGCATCTTCAGAGCCACTAATACTAGACTGGTCAATGGTTGAGGTCAGACAAACTCAGCCTCCTGGTCCTGCAGGTTAAGGGTTGGAATGAGGGCGGCTCTTTATTCCTTAAAACGGACTACTGATAGCCCGCTGCCTTGCGGTTAGGTTTCTGAACCCTAATCGTTCTCCAGTCTAGGCCTGGGCATCCTGACAGTATGCTTCCCACGCCATACTATGAATCATTCATCAAACAATTTCCTGACACTCTGGTCACCGCAGAGGATAATCAACGGCGCCCTATCTGCTGCATTGAGCAGGGTGGGTGGGGGTTTGGAGGCTACTGCTCAAGCCTTCCAGTCTTCGTATTCCCCCTCTTACGCTTTCTCATCAGTATCGTCCCGTTTCAACTTCACTTGTATCCCCCGTTTTCAATCCTCCAATTCTTGGCACACCCCCACCTTGTTTGGTAGGAATTTACCTACTAGCTGGCGCGACGATACCGCCCTATCCTTCCATGATAGCCAGTTGTTCTCGACCGAGAGGTATTAGCAAAGCGCATTTACTATAACGCTGTCTGCAGAGAAGATTAAGGAATTACACCACATCCCCTTATTTGGTGATACATTTCTTCGCTAGCGGGGTTGTAGCGAGGCATCAGTGAGTAGTAGCTGTTGTTGTTGCTGCTGCTGTGGAAAATGAATGCTGTGCAGATAAGCGAGCAATGTAGTTAGCTGTACTGCACAGCAAGGTAAGTTAAAAGCAACGCTGGTGATGAGCAGAAAAAAGTAACCCCATAAATTTAAAACGAGGCCTTACCATTCAACGCAGAGCTAGAGAAGACAGTTTACAGGGAAGCGGTCGTACAGAGGCAGTATGCTCTAAGACCGGAAAGCGAAAGCCGGATGTTACATTATGAGTATTCGTTTATACTAGAAAAAGAGAAAACCAGGTGGGAAATGTAGAACGTCCCGTTCTAAACAGATTTAACGAAAGGAGGTGGATTAAATTATGAGCCGGATAAATGGGATTTAGCAAGAAATAAACAGAAAGGTAATACCAATTGAGGGCCAGTACCGATGAAAGCAGCAGTATTCGGTAACTGAGAAGACTAATCAGGTTGTTAGTTGCAGCTGAGAAGCAGCGTCAAGCTAGGGTAAAGAGGATTGACAAGAAATTATTGTAGAACTCACGTTCTCTGGCACCTTGACCAGACAGGACTCGACAAAATCACGAAAGTTTTTGCTGAAATCACCGGTCAGTTGTGGAGGTGGATTATGTGGAATGAAGAGAAGCGCACGGATTGGATGCAAGTCCGCGTTTGGTGGTTCACCTTTAGCCAATTCAATCGCTGTGATTCCGGTGGACCAAACATCGACCTGGAAGATCGAAACAGATGCGAAGCGCTTTAATGGGGGTGGTATCGGTTTCCCGTTGCAAACAAACAGGGAATAATACACAACGTACCAAAAACGAAGAATGGAGGGGTGGGCGATGGGTTAAATAGTGTAGTTGGGAAATGGAAGCATCAAGTGAGTGAGCTACTTGATTCCGCAATCATGTCGCAAGTTGAGAGAAGATGTAAACACACGTGTGTTGCAAAAAGGAGTAAGGCTTAGCAGAGAGGCAGTAAATGGAATAGGAGAGGAGTAAAGCAAAAACGATGCCGATGATACCAGGAGAGTACGAAACTAAGCGCAGGAGCAAATATGTCTACGGAACAGGCCGTGTCAGAAAAGTTCCAGCACTGGTGTTATAAAGGACCCACCTCAAACACAAACTACACGTTGAGTTTTCTCCCTCAGAGTGATCCACATGGGGTACAAAGCACTTTCCCATCCATTTCTGCTGTGCTTTAATGCGCTCCTGGAAGGATTCTTCCAGGAACCTCCGTAAACCCGCTGTCAAAACCTCTTTGATGTCCTTCACGTCTTCGAAACGAGTCCCCTTGATAAACCCATTGAGATTGGGGAATCGGGGAAAATCGAATGGAGCTGGGTCGGGTGAGTAGGGAGGTTGCTCCAGCACGGTGATGTTCTCGGCCAGAAACTGTCGGGTGCTCAGGGAATTGTGTCAGACACGTTGTCACAGTGAAGCAGCCACGTCGACAAAGTGGAAGAAAACACAACACTCGAAGTCTAAATACAGTTATGCTAATCGCTTTCTTCGATGTGAGGGAATGGTCTAATTCAAGTTCTTGCTACAGGGTCAGACGATCGACCATCATGTCTGCAAAGACATTGCGATGTTTGCGTCGTTCAGTGCAAGAGGAGAGAGTTGTGGCACGACAACTCGTGGCTGTATCACCCAGACAACACGCATGCTACAATACCCAAGGCATCCGAAGTTCCTGGACGAGAACATAATTGTGCTGGAGCAACCACCCTACTCACCCGACGCGGCTCCATGCGATTTCCCCAGTTTCACAAGCTCAAGAGTTTATCAAGGGGACCGGTTTCGAAGAGGTGGACCTTAAAAAGGCCGTGACAACGGATTTGCGAAGGGCCCGGGAAGAATGCTTCCAGGAGTGCACGCAAGCGTGGCAGATAATGAAGGGAAAGTGCAATAGACTTCAGGTGGATTACTCTGAGATAAATCTTATGGCACCATCCCTGTAACATTGCTGACACGTTTCGTAAATCCGTTCATTATCGAAAAAGGTGACACAGTTAGAGGAAAGAAAAAATGCGAAACATGACGACATAAAAACGAACAAATGAAAAGTTGCAACACGTGAGCTGGCCTATTCTGGGAATCTGTATAGCAAAAGTATTAGCAATAAACTAAGCAGACAAGCGCGTTAGTTTTATTAGACGGTACAATGCATGTAGATAGCCAGCAACCAAAAGAAGAAATTTAGTCAGGCGAACAAATGTTGAAAACAGTATGAACATCGAGACAAAGGATAAGTACGGGAAATTAAGAATGGATGCGGATTAATGATTCGTTAAATGTAAGCAAGAGAGTGCATACACTCACGCATGCAAACGATTCCATAGATGTAACCACTGTGACGACCTAAACGTTAGGAAACCACCATATCCCAATTTCATAGTCCAATTACGATGGGGTCCCACCCAACTGCGCACGCTCTAAAAAACAACCACGGAGCATATGACCATGTCGTTGGCGGTATTGGTGAAATGTAGTTTCGTAGTATCGCACCATGCCTTGAAGGTAAGAATCATTGTTTCGTAGTGCAAAACCGTTTGTACGCGATAGGTTCCAATAAAAGAGACATACCGTTTACTTCCCTTTAGTAGGTGAATTGATTAACAGATATTTGTAGTAGCCCAGAAGTAGGTGTCGGAATATGGAAAGTAAGAACACACCGCGTCGGGAGTTAATTGCATTTACAAGGTAAATGAAAGTGATTAGTAAAATAGATACCAGAAGTTTTGACCGAGAATCAAACGCAGCCAATAACATGTCGCAACGATATTAGCAAAGCAACAGTTGTCGCGGATAAGTGGTTACACTATTCCGTATAAAAGCCCGACAGCAAGCTAGAAGTCGCAGAGATCGCCAGATGAAAAAAACGGATGTGGAATTCGGAGTCAGTGTTCAACGATACACATGGCGATCACAATCAAATTAAGCCCATAATGGTGTATAATGGTTTGTCTAACTCGCTAGTGTACTAGGGGCTACTGAATGACTTTAAGCTGTTTAGCTATGGTATCTGTTCCCGAAAGATATCATAACATATGAGCACGTCATTATTGAGAAATATAGTAGCAGAGATCATACCAGATGCCCAGTGACCACCAGGCTGGTTAGTTAAGAGGGCTGTCACGTGGTAGATTAGCCACAAATTAGTCCGACCGACTAGGCATATCAGATAACAACCTATTCACGAGAAAATCTTTCATGCGCGGAAATTAGATCCCTCAAGATAGAAAGCAATTGTTCTTGACACCTCCAGTCTTCTCTGTACCAAGGCAATCCACCACTCAAAAGCGTCCTCGCTATATTAAGATGTCCCGGTCAGTCGTTCTGGGGTGTCTAGAGGAACAACTTATCGTGAAGTTGGAAAAACGCACGAAACACCGATGATACACATATTCTTAGAACAAAGCAAAGCATGCGAACAAGTGTTTTCGAATGTTCTCAAGGCCCATGGGAGGCTACTATGGTCGGTATCTACCTCCACGGCTCTTTTCGATAAGCAGTATGAGTTGACATTTAAATAACCATGGAAAATAGCACGTTGCCGGGTTGGGGTTGGTTAGTGTCTGGCGGTGGAAACATTGACCTATGCACTCAAACGAACTGACACACTTGTAGTGGTATGCACCGCCTGTAGTTAACAACGATATGTTTAGTCGGAATCAATAGCTGTGCATCGACCGATAGGCGAGATGTGATTCGGTTTGAGGGCTTCCGCTTCAGGGTGCTGCTGCTGCTTGCGATTGGTGTGCTTAGAGCAGCCGATCACCGTTGTCACTTCGACTAACACCGGCCACAAAATAGTCTTATTCGACCTTCAATACTGGGCCAACTCCAGTCTGAAATTCCTCACGAGGATCACAGACTCGCCGCAGTATGACGCAGATCAGTGGTTTAGAAGCAACTAACACCACGATAATTCAAGTAGGATATCACTTGATGGTCAGCAACCGCCAGTAGGAGATTACTTTCTTCTTGTGCCGAACAGAAAGTCGCTACTGAGTCACCACTGTAGCTTAGCAAACATGATGCAAGGTAGCCTGGCCAGACGTGCTGTTCCAGTTAACCGGCTACGTCGACGTCTCGGGTGGATTCAAGTGACCTAATTAGCAATATTCATACATATGGCTGGCTGCAAAGTGCTAAACTTAGCGACCTGACCGACCTAAACGACAGCGAATTAGTTAAACATGTAAAAACGAAAGTTGCGCTAGAAAACTGTGCTATCGGGGTATCCTGGTTGTGATCAATAGAACAAGTAGCATCTCTGACAGCATTAAGGTGATGTTTTGACTATGGAAAGAGATCGGCTTGAGTATTCATGGTAGGTGAAACAAGCACGATGTCCGTGGTGTAGTCATTCGGTCTAGAGAAGAGGCGCCCTTGGATTTTTGCTTCTGGACCACAACGGGTAGGGAAGCAAACTGAACTGACAAAAAAGGCACTTGTTGACACCGATGGCTAAGAAATCGAATGGCACAAATGTGACTGTTCACCGGAGTTCAGCCTGTAAGTGTAGCCACTGTAATGATAATGAGAACAATAATAATAAATATTATTATCCGTATATTTCTCCTGACCCGAGAAACTGCATGTAGCGGCACTAATCAATTGATACGTGAGCGATATGCATAGGTGGAATATTAGGGCATGCGATTAATGTATTTAGTGGATGGTTGAGGCGGGTGCCAAGGATTGGAAACGTAGAGGTTTAGGTGTTTTTGAGCCATTCTTGGAACAGCCCAGCGAGGGATTTTGCTCATGTGGATATAGTTATTATGGTATTCAGGTCAAGGTAACTTGAGAGCTTGTTACTAAATATTGTCGCATTGTCGAATGACCTGAGTGTGAATAGCAGTTTATTCTACAGATAGCCACATCTGACCAGGAAGAAATTTGAACACATGTTTGTTATGACGTTTGTTATTTTCAGTGTAGAATCTTTGTTGCGAAGCTCTCGAGTTACGTTGCAGTTGCACTGCGATTCCACGAGCCGTAGATTAGGTATAACCAGAGACGTGAGGGGCATCAGAACCCGAGTCTGGTGAAATGTGCTATTCTGTATGGCAATTGGGAGACAGCACGCACCAAGTCCAAAGGAATGCAAAGTTATACTCTAGCCTTATTCCTTAGATAACTCATACTCAGGTACATTTCGGATGCGTAGCCCGACCTGGACGCCAAAAAATGAACCGTTGGTTCTAGCTACTTTGAGATAGCGCGCGAAGGGAGTACAATGCAAGAGTAAATGCACAACTCAAGTCTATCACCTTGTGACACGGTTGCCCATCCAAGAAACAAACTAGATTTCCAACAAAAGAAACTTCATAAAACCGGTAAGCCAAATAGCCGGGCTCAGAAAATGCAAACTGAACCAGACGTCGTAAATATATACCAGATAATTGGGTACCGTTTCTCCACTTAAGCAAGGATGAACAGATTAAACGCTGCTCCGCCACCTGTGGCGCCGACGCGACATCACTCTTGCTCTGAAGAGTAGACTTTACAATGCGACCATAAGTTCAACCCGACTGTGCGGTCCCGAAAGCTGGCTCATCAAGTCGACAGACATAAAGAGTCCAGTCACGTTCGATCATCACTGCCTTCGCAGTTTAGCTCATGTCTGGTGGGAATCCTACGTGAGCAATGATCATGTTCGGTGTCGTGTATTTGCTGCAAGAAGAGCGAGTGAACGGCTCAGCACCGTTAT